TGCCTGGAACAGTGCAGCTCCAGCAACACAACAAGCACGACACCACCCAAGATAAAGCAGCCCACTTGATTGGTACCACATTCACAAGCATCCACTTGTTCCACTAATGTGTTTACCATCTACAACATGCACTGCAGAAATTCAAAGATCCTTGGACAATACTTTCTAAATCCAAGAGCACTTCCACCTAGAAGGACAAGGGCAGCAGATACACAGGAATATCATGACATGCAAGCTCCCCTCTAAGCCACACACTATCCTGACCTGGAAATATAATCACCACTCCTCCAGTGTCGCTGGGTCAAGATCCTCAGATTCCCTTCCTAATGACATTGTGGGTGAACCTACAGCATGCGGACTGCAACAGTTCTGGAAAGCAGCTCACCAGCAAATTCTCAAGGGCAACTTAGAACAGTCAATAAAAACTGCTGGCCAGCAAATGCCAATGTCACGAGTGAATAAAATACGTGGGCTTTTATGGAGTATGTTTTTCAACAGGCACTTGATTTTATTTTACAGAACCTTACTATCTTGGGATACATGGCAAGTTGATATGTCTAAGGGCAAGTTGATATGTCTAAGAGCAATAAGATGGTGGATGGGGTCATGGGTTAGCCTAAAGGGTCATAAAAGTGGTTGGAAAGGCATAGCTTGGCAAGGATGGTGTGAGAGGTAGGCTAACAGGACTAACTTACGGGGGAGGCAATGGCCTAGTCATATTATCATTGCATTATTAATCTAGAAACAGAAGAAATATTTTGGGGACCTGGACTCAAATCCCACCACAGCAGATGGCAGAATTTGAATTTGCTTAAAACATTTGAAATTAAGAATCTAATGATGACCATGAAATCTTTGTCAATTGTTGGAAAACCCCATCTGGTTCACTAATGTCCTTTAGAGAAGGAAGCTGCCACCATTACCTGGACCGGCCTACGTGTGACTCCAGATCCACAGCAACAATGTGGTTGACTCATAACTGGCCTCTGGAATGGGCAATAAATGCTGGCCTAGCCAACAACACCCTCATCCCATGAATGAACTGAAAAACAAAGATGGGGCATGGTAAGTGTGGGGAGATAAGGAAAGAGGGCTGGAGGGATGTTTTATACTTTATTCTAGTTTTTAAAAAAAAATTTTAGATGCTGCCCGAACACAGATAGGTTTTTCACCCAGCATCCTCCTCATTGCTCCCGTGAATTATCTGTCCCAACATCTAACTTAACTGGTGGAGAGATTGATTTGTCACAATTAGTTTAGTTTACTTAAAATCATGCAATCAAAATATATTCAAATAACCTAATGTTTTGTTCTTCCTAACTGTAACTGGCACAGATTTTACTACTTTACTATCACGAAAGGATGCTTGGCCTCACTTGACAAAGAAATGCACCGTGGGATTTTGAATAGAGGGTAGGTAATCCACTAAGGAGTTAACGTTGAGAGGCTCCTGTTTAGCTTAAGTCCAACTCGAAGCCAGATAGTCAAAACATACAATCTTCAAGGTTGAAGAAACTCCTCTACGCTCAACCACTAACACTAACTAAAAATCTGGTGTTATTAAAAAAAAGGAAAGCTAAAAGCAGAAGGGGAGGAAAAACATAGTTGCTGTGCTCTACACATTAGCTTTATAATAATTCATAGTATTTTAGAAAAGATGCAATTACATTTGGCTTTATATTAGAATTAACATTGTAATAAAATAACCCTAATGCCTGGCAGCATTTATGGGGAAGGAGGGAGCAAGGGATAATGTTTCGGGTCTGACGTGATTCTTCTTTGGAATTTAATAGGACTAAAAATGACAGTTTTTGAATGATGTTGGGAAAAGGAGGATTAACTTGACAGATGGTGAGAACGTCCAGAGTGAAGGGCAAAGGGAGCACTAATGGCAATGGAGGAGCTACAGCTGAAGAATAGGTGTTAACAGTAGAAAATTGATCAGCACTACTGAGAGCATATCCATGCAAGCAAGATGCTAAACAGTGGTGGTGAAAGAGGAGGGACAGGGAGGGCACGTAAGAGACCATGCGTCTGATCAGAATGGAGGACAGCATGATCTTAAGTTAGGCAGCTATGGAGTCTCACAGCATGGAAACAAACCTTCAGTCCAACTGGTCCACGCTGACCATGTTCCCAAACTAAACTACATCTGCCTGCATTTGGCCCACACCCCTCCAAACCTTTCCAATTCATGTACTTATCCGAACATCCTTTAAATGTTGTAACTGTACCTGCATCCATTACTTCCTCTGGAAGTTCATTCCATACACTAAAAAAATGTTGACCCTCATGTCCTTTTTAAAACTTTCTCCTCCTACCTTAAAATATGCTCCCTAGTTTTGAACTTATCCCACCTCAGGGAAAGGCCTTAGTTATTCACCTTATCTGTGCCTCTTATGATTTTATCAACTTCTATAAGGTCACCTATCAACCTCCTATGCTCCAGTGAAAGTAGTCCCAGGCTAATTTTATAACTCAAGCCCTCCATTCCCAGCAACATCCTGGTAAATCTTTTCTGAACCCTCTTCAATTTAACAATATCCCACTTAGAAGAGGGCAACCAGAACTGCGCACAGTACTGCAGAAAAGGTCTCACTAATATTTGTTAAAGTCAAATGTTGAGTCTTGAAAGCTATGAAGTGCCCAAGCAGAAAACGATGTGTTCTCCCAGCTTTCATTGGGCTTTACTGGAACAATGCATCAGGCCTAGACCAGCAATGTTAGCATGAGTGTTCTCACAGGAATCTCGCAAAAAATTCACTCCAACCAAGCACAAGGATGTCAGAAATGTCTGGAATTTTAAAAACATTTCACTCATTACCCACCTCGTATTTTGAGTACTGATCAGCAGTTTTTCAAGCTTTTGATTTGTACATATGTGTGAAGTTCTCATTTATTGTTTATTATGAATATGAACTTAAGAATTGAGTGAGCAGGATGATGGTTTTTAAATGATTGATCCCAAGTAGGAACTGTAATGCTTGAAAGTCACTAGAACATAGCCAAGCAAGTGAAACATCAAATTAATCATGAGTTTAATTAGTCTGGCTGAATGCTGGCATTCAAGACAAAATATATGCGTTTAAGTAATGACCCACATACAATTACTGTTCAGTTTCTGTGGTTACTACTGTTATAACATCAGTGTACATCTAATTAGAAAACTAACTCAAGTTAGAGGTATTTTCTCCATGGATTGCCAATGAGTCGTTATCACAATTTGAAGAAGTCAAGTCTAAGAAATGTTTAAATTTTGCATGCAGAAATGTGATGTGACATATAGTTAACATCTGCTATGTAAACAGAGGGTATATATAGATGGGCATTTCTCAGATTAGAGATGAGTTTAAAGCAGTGTTCCCCAGGGATCGGTGTTGGGACTCTTGGTCTTTTCTAGTTTATATAAACAATTTGGAGAATGGTGTGGAGGACAAAAATCAAAAATTTGCAGCTAGAGAGAATAGTGAATCATGAGGATGACACTTAGCGACTTGAGGGGCATTGACAGGTTGGCCAAATAGGCAAACAAATTTCAATGCAGAAAAACATAAGGTAATGCATTTTTGTAGAAGAAAAATGAGACAATACAGGCTCAAATGGTACACTTTTGAGGGGAGTATAGGAGCAGAGGGACCTCAAGGTTCACTTGCAATATTCTTTGAAGGTGGCCAGGCAAGTTAAAACAGTTAAAGTGGCTTACAAGATCCTTGAATTTATAAATAGAGGCTTGCAGTATAAAAGTAAAGAAGTGATGTTACACCTTTACAAGTCATTGGTCAAACCACATTTGGAGTGGTATTCAGTTCTGGGCATCTTATTTAAAGGAAGATATTAAAGCCCTGGAGAGTGTGCAAAGGAGCCTTACTAGGATGATACTAGAAATGAGGGATTTTACATACAAGGAAAGATTAAGGAAATTGGGGTTATTCTCCTTGGAGCAGAGAAGATCAAGAGCTGACTTTGATGTTCAAAATTATGATTTTTTTAAAAAAACACAGCAAGGGAGGATATTCTGCTTTCACTAGTCAGTAACTAGGCATCGCAATTTCAGGATGGTCAGCAAGAGTACTAGGACTTAGATGAGGAGAAGCTTTTTTACTCAGCTGTTAGGATTTGGAATGCACTGCATGGGAGTATGGTGGAGGTGGATTCCATAGGAGGTTTCAAAAGAGAAGTGGATGTTTATTTGAAAGTGATGCTCTGGAGTTGGGGCTGGAGAACGAGACTATAGCTGGGGAGCTGTTTTGGGAGGCAGTACAAACACAATAGGTCAAATTGCTTCCTTTTGTACTGTAAAATTCTTTCATTTACCTCCAGAAATAATAGGTGGGTACTGCTGCCTCAGCGCCTGCATCCCGGGTTCGATTCCACTCTCGGGCAACTGTCTATGTAGAGTTTGCACATTCTCCCTATGTCTGCGTGGGTTTCCTCCGGGTGCTCCGGTTTCCTCCCACAGTCCAAAGGTGTGCAGGATAGGTGGACTAGCCATGCTAAATTGCCCATTGTGTTCAGGGATGTGTAGATTAGGTGGGTTACAGGGAGATGGGTCTGGGTGGGATGCTCAGAGGTTCGGTGTGGGCTTGTTGGGCCGAAGTTCCTGTTTCCACACTGTAGGGATTCTATGATCTATGAAATTCCAGGCAGCTGAAATTTGCACACAAGTGGACTCCTTGTGGAACAATAATATTTAGAAGACATTTTGGGTGATCAGAAACCCAGAAAATTTGAAATGAGTACTGTTCCTCTACATTATGTAATATAATGCATAGCTGAAACGTCTAAAAGTCTAGCACTGAAGTTCACATTTTAGGATACAAACGTAGAACTTACACTGAACAGTTTGAATTGTTCTAAGTTAATCAACATGGTTAAATTGGAATTTGTTCATTTCAATTGGATAATTTGCCACTAAATGCAAACCTTTCTTGCTACCAAAATCAGCATCAGAAGTACTTTAAGAATAGAAATGCCAGAATTTAATGGACTAAACAACATACTGAAATGATCCTGGATTCGGTTGAGGATATTCATGCTGTATTTACTGTCTACCATGTTAATAGCCAAGCCACGTTTGCCAAAACGACCTGTTCGTCCAATTCTGTGAAGGTACGTCTCGCAGTCTGGATTACCATCTTTATCCACTGGAAGGTCAAAGTTTATGACGACGGAGACCTGCTCAACATCAATTCCTGGTTTGAAATTAATCAAAGTTTCAGCAAACAGCCAGAGGAAATGTAATAAAATGTTAAGTGGTGTGAGGGCAGAAACAAATTCAAATATACTATCAGGTATTTACTGACACAATAGCTTTTTAGATAACTATATCAAATTATACAAAGCTGAAAACATGTACTTCCTCCCCAAATTCTCTTTTAGATGCCGGCAATTTTCCATGTCTTTCCCATACCGTGGATATTCTTTCACTCAAGTCTCGATACCAAATTACTGAACTGATTGCGCATGAGAAAGAAAAATAAATGAGAACCCAACTTTAGCAGCTTCCAAACAACAAATTACACTTGTATAGTACCTTCATGTTTGATATAGAATTCTAAGGTCCTTGACAAAGATTAAGGAAATGGACACTAAACGCTATAGAGAAATTAGGCAGACATGATTTAACTGCATGGTGTTGAAATAATTTGCTTCTCAAAAAACAAAACTTGAGACCTATATAAAGAAAGAAACGTGGAGGTAGCACAGCTATGACATGATTTTCAGGGCTCTCAATTTAGGTACCGATGACGGGATTAAAATTCTGGAGTCCGAAGACACATAGCTGAAAGGGGTATAGAACTAAAACAGGCATCGAAGACGACAAAGTGGTGTAGGTTGGTGTAGAATGACAGTGCAGAGTGGGTTATGGACAGGTGTTTTTGGAAAACCTTTTAGGTAGGTTGGCACTTAGACATGCCCAGCAAAGTGGACATTTGAAAAATGGAACTAAAATTTCAAAAGCAAGAGTCTTCAGGGCAGAGACTGGAAGTGGACAAAATGTATTGATAATGAATAATAAGCTAGGCTTAACTTCAACAGGATGCAAAGGAATGGTTCAGAAGAATGATGGAATTACTGCTCTTGAAGCAGAGTTTAAAGTCAGCCCAGAAAGCAATAGCTTTGTTCTTTCTCCCAGAGATGCCCAGATAGTAGCCGTAAAATGGGGATATTCCTTAGTCTCGCTCCTGAATACTTTGCTATGAGGGGAGAACCATCATTTGATTGTTCATTCTTAATGTCTCTTTTGCTCATTTAGCCATAGCCACTGACAATTTAATACTTTTGCCACAAGCACTGGTAATGTAAAGGCTCAGATGAGTAGCAAGGGGAAAAACAAACCCCTGGAGCATGACATGGAAGCATATGGTAAGTATGCAACCAAACACCACAACCATGCTTTCAGATGTGTTCTCTACTTGTTTTCATTGGAACTGGTAATCATGTGGTTTAATTAGAGTGGAGGGCTAAGTCTTGGGTGCCAAAAACAAGTGAGGTGGGTTCAGGTCAATCCTATCATCATAATCTGAAGCCTAACTCAACCAGGTTTCAATCTCTTCATTTTTGGGTTGAAATGGAAGCAGGACAAAAAAGGTCAGTCAAGCAGAGAGGCATGATTGTAATTTAAATATTTTAATATAACAGATCTAGGAATTGCCCTGTTCTGCAGGTTTAAGCAGGCGGCCAGCGCTCTCATGTTTTGGGAAAAATGGCCGAAGGGAGGTGCATGTTGGTTTCTGGAGAGGCAATAGACCAGGTTACATTCTGAGAACCCAATGTGAATCCCACCACAGATGGTGAAATTTGAATTCAATTAAAAAAACACTATGGAATTAAGAGTCTAATGACGACCATGAATCCATTGTCAATTATCAGGAAAAAACCCATTTGGTTCAAAGTCATTTAGGGAAGGAAACTGCCATCCTTACTTGGTCTGGCCTACATGTGACTCTAGACCCACAGCAATGTGGCTAACGCTGAACTGCTCTCTGGTCAATTGGGAACTGGCAATAAATGCTGCCCTAGTCAGTGACATCCACATCCGGTGAATTAATTAAAAATGAAGGGAAACGCAAAGAGCACATCCAAGCTCCTTCCAATCCAAAGGCCCCTTGGATCAGAAGTTGGTCCATGGGCCTCACCACAGGGATTAGAGCTACCTGCTTCAACTGCTGCTCCAGACTCAATTTTACCCAACTGGAAACAAATCTATCAAACCGGTTATTTTCTGAGGAGGACACCTACACGTAACAGAGAAGCTCTTTTCCAAAACTCCCTATACATAACCTGTTACTACCTCAGCCTCAAATTCTGTTTCAACAATGTTTAATCACTTACCTCTTGCACAGACATTAGTTGTGACAAGTACTTTCTCTTTGCCATCCCGGAAACGCTGTATCACAGCAGCTCGTTGCTCTACCATCATCTCTCCACTCAGCAGTGCAACTTGATGACCTTCTTTAGACAATTCAGCTGCCAACCAACCTGCAGTCTTGCGAGTCTGCAAGCAAAACAACTGCGTAATCAATTTGCGTAGAAATCAAGAAAACTTCTAAAAGTACACTAGCATCATTTGGACAGCAATATTAGCCCAGCACACCAGGGCAAAAAATAAGGCTAAAGCATTTGCAACACTCAGCCAGAAGTGTCAAGTTGATGATCCATCTCAGCCTCCCGAGCAGGTACCCAGCATCACAAGTTCCAGTTTTCAGTTAATTCAATTCACTCCCCAATATCAATAAAATTTGGAGGCACTGGATAGTGCAATTGCTGTGGGCTCTGACAACATTCCAGCAACAGCGCTGAAGGCTTGTGCTCCAAAATCAATCAGCCCTAGCCAAGCTGTTCCAGTACAGGTACAACATTGACATTGACCCAACAATGAGGGAAATTGCCCAGGTACATCCTATGCACAAAAGCAGGTCAAATCCAACCCAGCCAATAACCATTCCATTTATCTATCTATCTCAATCATCAGTAAAGGAAGGTGTCATCAACAGGGCTATTAACAGAGCACTGCTCAGTACCAACCTGCTCACTGAGGCCCAGTTTGGGCTCTGCCAGGCCACTCAGCTCCTGGCCTCAATACAGCCTTGGTTCAAACATGGACACGATAGCTACATTCCGGTGGAGTTGAAACTGACTGCCCTTGACGTCAAGGCCACATCTGACCTTGTGTGGCATCAGTGAATCACTGAGTCAATAGGAATCAAGGGGAAAGCCCTCCCAGGCAGAAGTTACACCCTGGCACATGGGAAGATGGTGGTTGTTCTAGTTGCTGGAGGTCAACCATCTCACGAGTTGCTCAGGGTGGTACTCTAGACTCAACCATCTTCAGTTGCTTCATCAATGACCTCCCTTCCATCATAAAAGGTCAGTGGGGATGTTTGTGATGATTGCACAATGCGCAGCACCATTCACAACTCCTCAGATGCTGAAGCAGTTCATGTCCAGATGCATCAAGATCCGGACAACATCCCGGCTTGAGCAAGTACAAATGCCAGGCAATGATTATCGCTAATAATAGACAATCCAACCATTGCCCTCTGACATTCGATGGCATTACCATCACGGAATCCCCCAATATCAACATCCTGAGGTAACCAATGATCAGAGACTGAACTGGACTAGCCATATGAATACAGTGGCAAGCGCAGGTCTGAGAATCTTGCAGTAACTCATCTCCTGACTCTCCTAAGCCTGTCAACTATCTATAGGTCAGTGTGATGGAATATTCCCCACTTGCCTGGATGAGTACAGCTACAATAATATGCAAGAAGGTTGACACTAGTCAGAAAGAAAGAGGATGCATTTGTTAAGGCCAGGAGGCTGGGAACACACAAAGCAAGGGTGGAATCCAAGGAAAGTCAAAAGAAACTTAAGCAAGGAGTCAGTAGGGCTAACAGGGGTCATGAAAAGCCATTGGTCCAAGGATTAAGAAAAATCCTAAGGCTTTTTATACTTATATAAAGAGCAAGAGGATAGCCAGGGAGAAGGTTAGCCCACTCAAGGACAGGGAAGGGAATGTGTGGAGCCACAGGAAATAGGCAAAGTAGTAAGTGAGTACTTTGCATCAATATTCACCTCAGAAGGATTTGGTGGATGAGGAGTCTGGGGAAGGGGGTGTAGATCGTTTGGGTCATGTTGAGATCAAAAAGGGAGGTGGTATTGGGTGTCTTGAAAAACATTAAGGTAGACAAGTCCCCTGATGGTATGTAACCCAGAATACAGAAGCAAGGGAGGAAGCTGCTGGGGCCTTGAGGGAAATCTTTATATTCTCACTGGCTACAGGGGAGGACCCAGAAGATTGTAATATAGCCAATGTTGTTCCTTTGTTTAAGGGTGGCAGGGATAATCCAGCTAATTACAGGCCGGTGAGCCTTATGTCAGTGGTAGGGAAATTATTGGAGAGGATTCTTTGAGACAGGATTTATTCCCACTTGGAAATGAGTCGGCATATTAGCGAGAGGCAACATGGTTTTGTGAAGGGGAGATCGTGTCTCACTAACTTGGTTGAGTTTTTTGAGGAAGTGACGAAGGTGTTTGATGAGGGTAAGGCAATGGATGTTGTCTACGTGGACTTCAGCAAGGCCTTTGACAAGGTCGCTCACTGCAGACTGATACAGAAGGTAAAGTTACACGGGGTCAGAGGTGAGCTTGCAAGATGGATAAAAAACTAGCTCAGTCATAAAAGACAGAGGGCAGCAGTGGAAGGGTGTGTTTCTGAATGGAGGGCTGTGACTAGTTGCATTCCTCAGGGATCAATGTTGGGACCTTTGCTATTTGTAATATATATAAGTGATCTGGAGGAAAATGTAATTGGTTTGATTAGTAAGTTTGCCAATGACAAAGGTTGGTGGAACTGTGGATAGCGATGAGGACCAGAAGAAACAGCAGAATATAGATCTGTTGGTGACTTGGGCAAAGAGATGGCAGATAGAGTTTAATCCAGAAAAATGAGAGAATACATTTTGGAACCTCTAATCCAGATGGAAAATATACAGTAAATGGCAGAACCCTTAAGAGTACTGACAGGCAGAGAGATCTGGGTATACAAGTACACAAAGTAGCAACACAGGTGGAGAAGGTAGTCAACAAGGCACATGGCATGCTTGCCTTCATCAGCCAGGGCACTGAGTTTAAAATTGGCAGGTAATGTTGCAGCTTTATAGAACCTTAGTTAGGCAGCATTTGGAATAGTTTGTTCAATTCTGGTCACCACATTACCAGAAGGATGGGGAGGCAATGGTCTAGTGGTATTAATCGCTGGACTGTTAACCCAGAGACCCAGGTAATGTTCTGGGTACCTGGGTTCAAATCCTGCCACAGCAGATGATGGAATTTGAATTCAATAAATATCTGGAATTAAGAGTCTAATGATGATCATGAATCCATTGCCGAATGTCGGAAAAACCAAACTGGCTCACTGACATCCTTTAGGGAAGGAAACTACCATCCTTACCTGGTCTGGCCCACATGTGCCTCCAGACCCACAGCAATGTGGTTGACTCTGATCTGCCCGCTAAGCAATTAAGGGTGGGCAATAAATGCTGGCCTAGCCAGCGACACCCCCATCCTGTGAATGAATAAAGAAAAAATGTGGCTGCTTTGGAGAGGGTACAGAAAAGACTTTACCAGGATGTTGCCTGGTATGGAGGGCATTAGCTATGAGGAGAGGTTGGAGAAACTTGGGTTGTTCTTACTGGAACGACGGAGGTTGAAGGGTGACCTGATAGAGGTCTACAAGATTATGAAGGGCATGGATAGAGTGGACATTCAGAAGCTTTTTCCCAGGGTGGAAGAGTCAGTTACAAGAGGTCTAAAACCCCCTACCCTTCAAGGAATTGTATCCCTCTATTCCCATCCTAATTGTCAAGACGCCCTTTAAAAGTCACTATTGTATCTGCTTCCACCACCTCCCCTGGCGGCGAGTTCCAGGCACCCACCACCCTTGGTGTAAAAAAGAACTTGCCTCGTATATCACCTTTAAACCTTGCCCCTCAGACCTTAAACCTATGACCTCTAGTAACTGACTCTTCCACCCTGGGAAAAAGCTTCTGAATGTCCACTCTATCCATGCCCTTCATAATCTTGTAGACCTCTATCAGGTCACCCTTCAACCTCCGTCGTTCCAGTAAGAACAACCCAAGTTTCTCCAACCTCTCCTCATAGCTAATGCCCTCCATACCAGGCAACATCCTGGTAAAGTGTTGGGTGCAGGCTTGGAGGGTTGAATGGACTGTTCCTGTGCTGTAATTTTCTTTGTTTTTTGGCACCATCCAAGACGAAACACACTATTTGAGAATGTGGTGCCAGTCACTTCACCACTGACACTCAGTAACAGCAATTTCTACAAGAAGCAATGCAGAAATATGTCAAAGATCCTTAGACAGCACATTCCAAGTGGCATTATCACTGGACTGTTAATCCAGAGGCCCAGGTAATGTTCTGGGTACCTGGGTTCAAATCCTGCCACAGCAGATGATGGAATTTGAATTCAATAAACATCTGGAATTAAGAATCTACTGATGACCATGAATCCATTGTCGATTGTCAGAAAAGCCCATCTGATTCACTAATGTCTTTTAGGGAAGGAAACTGCCATCCTTACCTGGTTTGGCCTACATGTGACTCCAGAACCACAGCAATGTGGTTGACTCTGAACTGCCCTCTGGGCAATTAGGTATGGGCAATAAATGCTGCCTAGCCAGCGACGCCCTCATCCCGTGAATGAATAAAGAAGAAAGAATATAGAAGGACAAGGGCAACAGATATTTAGGAACACCACCACCCACAAGCTCACCACCAAGCCACTCACTATATCACTACTCCTTTACTGTAGCTGGGTCAAAGTCCTGGAACACCGTCCTTGACAGCATTGTGGGTCAACCCACAGCACATGGACAGCAGCAGTTTGAGAAGACATCTCACTGCCACCTTCTTAAAGGGACAACTAGGGATATGCAATAGATACTGGCACAGGCAGTGGTGCCCATGTCACACGAGGGAATAAACAAAACCAGAAGAAATAATATATAGTGAATGGACATTTTTGATTAGAATATGTAGGTAAAGTTTAGAAATTCAGCTGTTTTAGTAAGAGAAAATGGCTGAAGGACCAGTAAGCAGAATATTATACATATTATACAGGATATTATACAATACTCACATGACAGAAGATCATGGCCTGTGCTATGGTAATTGCTCCATAAATATTGCACAGAGCATGGTATTTCTCTTCCTTGTTGTCACAAAGGACATAATATTGTTTAATTGTATCCAAGGTTTCTTCCTCCCGCTTCAACTTGATAATATTAGGCTCTGGAACAACCTTCTGGGCAAATTTCCACACAGACTCTTCAAATGTAGCTGAGAACAGCAGCATCTGACAATCTTTAGGCAACATCCTAAAAATTGGAAAGAACCTATTACCAAATCAGACTTCTTAAATTACTGATAAATTTGCAACAGATTATCCTCAAAACGTACACCACCTTTAGCAGCAGAGTTCAAACCCAGCAGTAGTAAAGGAAATTTAAATTCCAATAGAATATAATACATAGATATATTGGACAATTTTACCCCAGTTTATATTGAGCATAATTTTACAAGAGTGGTATAATTAAGTCATGAAGGTTGTTATGGAAATTCATACAGTTATGCAGTCAATGGCACTCAAATATCCCAGCAAACTAGGTTACTGCAGCAGTAGAAAGTGAAAATAATTGCAAGTTACTCAATTATAAATAACACTTTTTTTGCTAAAATTACACTAAGAATGTTTTAGTCCCATAGATTGGCAATCCCACCTCTGAATTCTAATGCTCTGGTCTTGGTGGCCTTGAGTTGCAATCATGACATCAGCCTCATCTAGGACAAAAACTTTAATTTTCTTTGTATCTATGAATCTCAGTTTTGTGCACCAATCCATTACTGTCCCGGGTGTGCCAATAACAATTTGTTCTGAAATCTTCTGACCCTTCTCAACTGAAAGCACAAAATATATTATGTTACACAACCTAAAATAATCAAACTGTGAAGTGTACTCCATTCACTAACTCATCAATAATTTGGGTAGTAACAGAACTTCTGAAGGTAAACTACATTTAAAACAAAATTTGGTGATTACGTTAAATTTTACATCCATATCAGTCAAATACCAAGGACTACAAAAATGTTTTGGTTAATTTCGCTGATGTGGGTGTCATTGACAATGCCCTATTTATTGCCCATTCCTTGTTGCTTGCAGTTATTTGAAATGGGTGGCTGTTCCCGAGAAAACCAAGCTGGTATTGGGCTACACCTTGCATCGAGCAGGCTACCTAAGGATACCAAGTTCTGAACTTCTGACGCCAGGTCAGGAGTGCAAATTTGGGACAATTCGTGGCAATGCAAACCAGATCTGGAAAAACATGTCCAGGCAATTGATATTCATTCTGGGGAAGGCAAGTGAAAATGGAAGTCATGACACTCAATCCTGAAGAGTTCAGGAGTTGTTGGGTACAGATGCCATTGGGCAGAAGGCCAGCCTCAGTGCTCCAGCACTTTGTCAAAGATTAACCAAAAAATACCCCTCTGGTCCTTATCCTCAGATGCTTCCCATCTTATGCTCCAAGTCACCTCGTGGCTTATCATACCTTCTATGCCCTTTATTGAAACTATCCCTTCTACCAACATCCACAGAAGCAGGAGTAGACCATTCAGCTTCTCATGTCTACTCCATTATTCTAGATTATGGTTGATCATCTCCTCTATTCGATTTTCCCACATTATCTGCTGTTCGTCTCTATAATCCTGTTAATTTCTGCCTTGAACCTGCTCAATGAGTGAGGCAGAATGCTAGAGTCACCATCCTCCGTGAGGAATTTCTTCACCAGTTGAGTCTTCAATAGCCTGCCCCCTGCCCTCAGAATACATCTCATCATTCCAGAGTTCCCAGTCAGGGAAAACATTCCATCCATATCTACCTTGTCATATTAAGAATTATAAAATATTCAATGAGATCACCTCTCATTTTTCAAAACTTTAAAGGAATACAGACCCAGTTTCTTCAATCTCTCCTTTAAGACAATCCTGTCATAAGGCCATACATGTAGGGGCAGATGTAGGCCTTCAGCTCATATAGTCTGCTCCACCAAAATTATGGTGGATCCTCAACCCCACTTTCCTGCTTTATCTCCACAACCCACAATTCCATTGCTGATAAAATTCTCTCAACCTTGAATATACTTTATTATCCAGCTTTAATAGCCCTCAGTCATGAAGAACTCCAGATTTACTACCCTGAAAGAAATTTATGGTTGGCATGGTGTCCCAGTGGTTAGCATTGCTGCCTCTGGGCACCAGGGACCCGGGTTCAATTCCACCCTCAGGCATCTGTCTGTGTGGAGTTTGCACACTCCCACCACCCCCCCAACCCGTGTATGCGTTGATTTCCTCCAGGTGTTCTGGTTTCCGCCCAGAGATGTGCAGGTTAGGTGGAGTGGCCACGCTAAACTGCCCATAATGGGCTAGAGATGTGCAGGCTAGAGATAATAGGAACTGCAGATGCTGGAGAATCTGAAATAACAAGGTGTAGAGCTGGATGAACACAGCAGGCCAAGCAGCATCAGAGGAGCAGGAAAGCTGATGTTTCGGGCCTAGATGATGTGTAGGCTAGGTGGGTTAGCCATGAGAAGTGCAGGATGGCAGGGATGGGGTAGGAGGGTGGGTCTGGCTGGAACGATCTTTGGGGTGGGTTGATGTGGACTCGATGGGCAGAGTTGCCAGCTTCCTCACTGTACGGATTCTATGAAATTCCTTACCATTTGTCTAAAACAAGCAACCCCTGACCGAACTGTGCCCTCTGGTCCTAAATTCTTCCATCAGGGAAACAACCACAGCATCTAACCCGTCAAGCCCCCTAAGAATCTTAGGTATTTCAATAAGTACTCCTCGCATTCTTCTAAAGAAGAATTAGTACAAAAATGAACTACACAACCTCTCCTCATAAGAAAACCCCTCAATACCTGGAAGTAACCTTGTGAATCTTCTCTGGACTGTCTCCAATATCTAGATAGGGAAGCCAAAATTGTTAACCATGCTCTGTGTGGGGTCTAACTAATACCTTCCATAGTTTTAGTATGACCTCCTTACTTTTATATTCCATTCCTTTTGAAGTAAAAGCCAACAGTTCTTTTGCGTTCCCAGTACCCACTGAACTTGGATACTAGCTCTTTGAAAGCCCATATCCTTCCTTAGATAGGAAGGCTAAAACTGTACACAATACTCCAAGTGCAGTTAGACCAAAGCTCTAAACAAATGTAGCGAGATAGCTTTGCAGCTCGTCTTAAATCCTCATTGCAATGAATGCCAATAGACCACTTGCTTTTCAAATTGCTTATGCACCTGCTTTTGTCCTATCCAAGTCCTCTTTTCACCATCCTTACAACTTACCCAATTTGGTGTCATCAATAAATCTAGAAATAATATAATTGGTATTCACATCCAAAACATTTCAGTAGATTGAGACCAATTGTGTAGTTAGCACTGACACTTTCGGTAACCCACTAGTAACAACCTGCCAATCAGAGAATGATCCGTTTATTCCTACTGTTTTCTATTAACCAATTCTCAAAACGTACTGGAATATTCCTGCAAATCTCTCGCACTCTAATTTTATTTATTATCCTCCTGAATGCAATCTCACTAAACACCTTCCAAAATACCAAATACACACATCCATTTATTCTCATTTGGCTATGCTTCAATTAACAGTCTCAAACACTGAACACGTTTTTCAAACAATTTGCCTTCATAAGTTAATGTTGACGCTAATTTTTCCATTCTAAATGTTCAATTATCACAGCCTTTATTACAGATTCCGCCATTTCCCCTATAGGCATCAAGCTAATAGGTCTGTATTCACCATTCTCACCAAGGCCCTGTACAATTGTATCTTGTTCTCTAATCCTCTCACTACGAAGGCCATTGCCTTCTTCACCTGCTGCACCAGCATGCTTACTTTCAGCAACTGGTATACAAGGACACCCATATCCCAGTGCGCTTCCCCTTTTCCCAATCTACTGTTCATAGTGGCTGGAATGCAACACATACATAGGGCAAACTGGGCCTGTATTCTCACATTTCAAAGAATGAAAGGCGATCTCACTGGAAACCAACAAGGGATACACAGGTCAAGCGCTTCTCCTGGTTAGGCAGTTTAGAACCAGGGGACAGAATTTAAAAAAAAGACAACGTCACTTAGGTCCAAGATGAGGAGAAATTCTTTTATTTGAGGGTTGTGAACATTAGGAATTCTCTACTCCAAGGGGAAATATGTAGCAGTTCAGTCTTCGAGTCTGTTTAAAGGTGGAGATTGATACATTTCTGATTATGTGTGCCATACAGGATTATGGAGTTTAGGTGGGTAAAAGACATTAAAATATTTTAATCAGCCATGATTGTTCTGAATGGCAGGGCAGGCTCAATGGGCTGAATGGCCTACTCTTGTTCTTATGTCCTAAAAACAGAATGTAAAGAACCTTAGCAGGATTGGCACCTGTGGAAAGGCAAATAAATTTAAACCTTAGAACTGAACATGACGCAAGAGATATTGGCCTTAGAGGTGTTAAATCCTTCTCTTCATACATTCCACAGATTGTTGAGTTTTTTCCAGTACAATCTGCTTTGCTTCAAATTTCCAGCATTGCAGGATTTTGCTTTTTCAAAGTTACTTGAGCCCCCTCCACTCCTGCCAAACAAGAACCTCTATTCTATTGCTCCTGTATGGTTCATTGACGGTCCATGGAACACGACCCCAAGGTGCTTTTTGTTGCAAACAGCTCTATTTTGTTTTCCCATCATCCCTCTGTTCAGGGCTGAAAATACAAAAGAAAATGGTAGCTGGATAACTGCCTTACCAGCAGTTGTAACCAGAGGCATTTGATAAGATGTAAAGTGCTAGAGAAAAATGGGATTGGTGCCTTCCAGTTTAGCAATGCCTCAAACTTAAACTTCTCATCCTGTTCAAATCCCTCCATGAACAAGTGTCTCGCTAGCCAAGCAACTTATTTTAGTCCCAGACAGTTTCAAAATATCGCTAGCATACTCAATTTGCTTCACCTCATCACTGACAGCCTTGCCTTCAGCTTTAAGTCTTGTATGTATTCAAAGCGACATACAAGTTCAGGTCACTCAGAACACTTGTTTTGTCAAGGAAATTTGAAATTATAATGTTGTCAGAATCAGCTCTAGCTCAAAAATACCAAGCTAAAAGGAACACACTTTTCTTTCTCTATTAAAGTCCCACCTGCTCTAAAGGTGTATTATGACATCTATGAACTGGTTGACTAAAATTCATCTAAAAAATTCATTTAAAAAACCTGTTGTGCTGTAATACATTCAAAACATATCTTAATCAAAAAGTATAAAAGCCACAATATTATTCTACTTGTACTTTGAATAAACCAGACATAAAATGCAGCAGTCTTTTGTATACAAACCCAGGAAAGCATATTAGCCAAAGATGCTGAAACGGTTTCAGATGCTGACCAGACTAAAATGGGCCACATGGATAGGGAAACGCTTGGCCATGGAGTAATTGGAACATAAGGATGAGAATTTTAAGTTTGAACCATTGCTGGACCAGAGGCACCAACCACATTTTGCTCTAGCAATTTACACCACTAATCTCTTAATTGGATAATTGCTTTATCATCAGTACCAGCCATTATGGTCTTGAATACCCTTAGCAAAGGATAAAAGAATGAAATAACTAATTGCAGAAAGGAATTAAATGCATCGCTTTCAAAACAGCTAATTAAAAGAATATATACACATGTGGTTTAACAACAAAAGAATAATCTCTCTACTTGTAGCTCCCAGTATATTTTATCTTCCAATTTAAAACACAGGCTGAATGGGTGCTCGACAAAGATAAACGTACTAGGAAAATAGAACGCAGAACATAGAACAGTACAGCGCAGTACAGGCCCTTTGGCCCACGATGTTGTGCCGAACTTTTACCCTAATCCTAAGGTCTACCTAACCTCCACCCCTACCTTATACTATCATCCATATGCCTATCTAATAGCCGCTTAACTGCCCCTAATGAGGCCGACTCCACTACCCTCTCCGGCAATGCATTCCATGCCCCTATCACTCCAAGTAAAGAACTTACCTCTGACGTCTCCCCTATATCTACATCCACTCACTATAAAACCATGCCCCCTCGTAATAGCTACCTCCACCCTAGGAAAAAGTCTCTGGCTGTCTACTCTACCTATACCTCTGATCATTTTGTACACCTCTATCAAGTCACCTCTCATCCTTTGTCGTTCTAAACAGAAAAGCCCTAGCTCTCTCAACCTTTCCTCATAAGACTTTCCCTCCATTCCAGGCAACATCCTGGTAAATCTTCCCTGCATCTTTTCCAACACCTCCACATCTTTCCTGTAACGAGGCAACCAGAACTGGACACAATACTCCAGATGTGGCCGAACCAGGCTTTTGTATAGCTGGAGCATAACTTCACGGCTCTTGAACTCGATCCCTCTTAACGAAAGCTAACACACCATACGCCTTCTTAACTCTATCCACCTGGGTGACAGCTTTCAGGGAACTGTGAACATGAACCCCAAGATCCCTCTGCTCCTCCACACTACCAAGAATCTTTCCGTTAACCCTGTATTCTGCTTTCAAGTTTGTCCTTCCAAAATGAATCACCTCACATTTTTCAGGGTTAAACTCCATCTGTCACTTCTCAGCTCAGCTCTGCATCCTATCAATGTCCCTTTGTAACCTCGAACAGCCCTCCGCACTGTCCACAACGCGACCCACCTTTGTATCATCCGCGACTTGCTAATCCACCTTTCCACTCCTTCATCCAAATCATTTACAAAAATCACAAATAGAAGAGGACCCAGGACAGATCCTTGTGGTACACCACTCGTAACTGAGCACCATGTTGAATATTTTCCATCCACTACCACCCTTTGTCTTCGAAGGGTCAGCCAATTCTGAATCCAATCTGCCACATTTCCCCCTGTCCCATGCCTCCTTACCTTCTGCATGAGCCTACCATGGGGAACCTTATCGAACGCCTTACTTAAATCCATATATACCACATCCACTGCTCTACCTTCATCCACGTGTTTGGTCACCTCTTCAAAGAATTCAATAAGGTTTGTGAGGCATGATCTACCCCTCAAATTCATGCTGACTATCACGAATCAAACTTTGCCTTTCCAAGTGATCATAAATCCTATCTCAGAGCCCTTTCCAATAATTTGCCCACCACTGACGTCAGACTAACTAGCCTATAATTTCCGGGGTTATCCCTATTCCCTTTGTTGAACAAGGGAATGATGCTTGTCTCTCTCCAATCCTCCGGCACTATACCTGTGGACAGTGAGGACGAAAAGATCATCGCCAAAGGCCCGACAATCTCTTCCCTCGCTTCCCATAGAATCCTTGGATAAATCCCATCAGGCCCAGGGGACTTATCTATCTTCAACTTCCTCAAAATTCCTAGCACATCTTCCTTAGTAACATCCACCTCCTCTAGCTGACCTGCCTGTTTCAAACTGTCCTCCTCTAAAACTAGGTCCCTCTCAGTTGTGAATACCGAAGAAAAGTATTCATTAAGGACCTCTCCTATCTCCTTCGGCTCAGTGTACAAATTCCCTTTACAATCCTTGATCGGCCCTACCCTTTCTCTGGTCATTCGCTTATTCCTCATGTACGTGTAAAAAGCCTTGGAGTTTTCCTTGATCTTATCTGCCAAGGTTTTCTCATGAACCCTTATAGCTCTCCTAAGCTCTTTCTTCAGCTCCTTCCTGGATAACTCGTATCCCTCTCGAGCCTTTTCCATTTCTTGTTTCCTAAACCTTACATAAGGATCCTTCTTCCTAACCAGACGTTCGACCTCTCGAGAACCAAGGCTCCCTCATTCGACCGCATCTTCCCTGCCTGCTAGGGACAAACATATCGAGCACACCATCTATTTCCATAAAATTCCAGATGTTTCACTAACATCCTTTAAGTGAGGATATATTCATCCCTAGCCAGTCTAGTCTATCGCAGCTCCAAATCTACAGCAACGTGGATGATTCTTATCTGTCTTCTGAGATGGTCCAGCCACTCGCTTCAAGTAGATTTAGGAATTTGCAATGAACACTGGCCTAGTCAATTACACCCACATCCGATTTTTTATTTTTTTTGGGGGGGGGGGGCGCAGTGGAGAAGAAGGAGGAAAGAGGCTAATCATTCTACGAGATCTTTAAGACATGATAAATGGGCGTCCTCTCCAGCATTCAAGGTTCCGAGTGCTAGATTCTCTGACTGGAGCGGTTCAGCAGCGAGTGGCAGCTGTGCAACGCTCGGCAGCACCGCTGGTGTGCAGCAGCTCCTGGCAATATACCTGCCCAAGGCCCTGGATTACTGAGGGCTCCAGGCCTAAAGTGATTGCTAACAGGATGAATATCAGAAGCAACAAGAGTTGGCACGTAGCAGGGCTCCATCAGGAACAGACAACCTTGTGTGCCTCTAGGTTGCATATATGATTAGAATCATACAGTAACACATTGAAATATTACTTACGTCTGTTGCCTCGCACTGCATAAGCTAGCTTGATATCAGGACAGTACTTCCCCATTTGTTCAATAACCTGTCCAGTCTGCAAAGCCAGTTCATAGGTTGGAGAAAGACACAAACACTGGGGGAGAAAAGGTCAACTAATGATTAAGAATCAGAACAAGTTTTTCAGGAATAACATTTAGATAGCAATATTCTTAGTTGCAAACTGCAGATACAGCATGGAGTTCAAACTGGATGCAAAGATGAATAGGTCAATGTCAACAAAGGCCCATTTTAGTGATTTACACAACAGTAGGACAGCACAGTATTTCCACCGGCCTGAAGTGTACATTGCTACTGCATAAAGCTATTTATTGTATCAAGAGCAATTCCCATTACCATTACCAACCTCTATTCCGAAATATATAGCTATACTTAAACTGGTCATTCTCACAGGTCAATCATGCCATGTTTAAATGTAATTTTCATCAGTTGGTTAGATTTTAATGGAGACGATGAGGATCTCGCCTACCAGCCAGAGAGCAAAGAGCCTATATTACCTTTTTGCAAGGCCCACCAAATTAATTACCAATCAAGGTACTTTACTAGAGAGTAGCAAGTCTTCCCCAGGATTAAGTGAGTTCCAAGCATGAAAATCCCATTCTTTGAGAGCTTCTGGTCAATAGCTATGCATTGACGCGGCAGGCTCGAGGGGCCGGATGGCGGCCTCCTGCTCCTAGTTCTTATGTTCTTATTGCTTGGCAATGGCACTGGCACTGGTGGGAGCTAAGGGAATGCTCCTGCCGGAAACCCAGGATTGTCAAGGTACCCTGTCACAGGTGTGTGAAGTGACAGCAGGACAGGTGTGTGAAGTGACAGCAG